GCTGCCAAGAGGCAAATGTGGGCTTGGTGATGGAAAAAATTTCTAACAATTAGAACTACTGAAAAGTGGGATTGGCCCTGAGGGGGAGCCTTACTGGAGATCTCCAGGCAAGTATTAGATAAATATGTAGGTTATATTGTACAGGGGGATTCTTGTGCAAGTACAGGTTGGGAATAGATGGCCTCAAGTCCCTTCTGACTCTGAGGTTCTAGGAGTTAGGACCCTGTTCGTTGTCCCTGGCTTTGCCTGCCACTGTGGAAAATTTCAAACCCTTTTTTTCTATAGCTGCATCCTGCCCCTACCTGTTAATAAACTATGAGAAATCCTTCAGAGTGAGTGGACTGGATTGAATGTCAGAATGGGAGTGAGACTGGTTATTGATGGCTTCCAAAACAAAATGCCATAATTTGTAGAGCTTTTTGGATGCCCCATGAATGATGAATTTGTTGAGACCCTTGGAAGGGATTCTGCCAGGACAGTTTCAGTAAGTGGTAACTCAGTGTAGTTTCTCTTGTGACAGGTCTTATGAAGCTGTTGCATTGATGAGTGTAAATAGAGGTTTCCTTTCCCGAGGCTCTGCTAAGGGCCAAGGGGTAGTGTTCTCTTGCCAAAGCAACTGAATCATATGTCAAATCAAAATCATTCAGTGTAGCAATAACCTCTAATAGGTCTTGGCATTTCTCCAAGACTTTTTTGAACGAGCAAGCTGTTGTATCACAGCCACTGATTACATATAAAAATAAGATATTTTATTCCTTCTAGCAGCTATAATTTAGGGAGGGAAAAATACATTTTTCTTCCCCTCCACCCGCCCTAATTTCCTGGTTCCACCATAGGCTGTCTCCAAAACAAGGGGCTATCTCGACATCCTCTCCAGCAATTACAGCACATTCACAGGAAGAAGACATCTCAATAGATATATTTGATGAATTTGGCATCAGCATCATCAGATGCCTGCTTTGCAGCCATACTCTCATCATGAAATCCCTTCATCAGCAGAGAGATGAGTCATTCTTTGTTTATCTCATGCCACAAGAATTTCTCTTGTCTAAAGAGTGTAGTCACGCTTTCATCAAATATCGTTTCTGCCGAGGTAGGCTCAAAGGAATGCTCATGTCATTCTGCGCTTTCATAATGACCACCAAAGTTCATGATCCAGATAAAGCCATCGCACCTCCGAATTCCTGGGGGAAGGATTCATCCAATATGCCTCAGACAGCATAGTGGGGCCAGCCTCTGTCCTTGCCTGACAACCATTTTATAGTAGATATTCATGTTGATAACAGGGACAGGAAGTAGAGGATTTCCCTCTCTATCTTTTGTAGTCTGAATGAGATCAGGTAGTGTGGTTTTATTGTTTTTTTATATGTATTAGTTTTACTGAAAATGATGACTTGTGGATTGTGCCTAATAGGGATTGAGTACCTGGTCATTTTAAAATTCAATATGTGTTCCTAGAACTTCGTAGCAAAGAGTAAAAGTGAGAGAAGGTTCATAGATAAGGAGCTGAAGGGACTTTTGAGACTTCCTTGAGAGCAAGGGCTGTCTGTTACCTTTCTCTGTATCCTTAGCACTTAAAACTGAGCCTGACACATAGTAGGCATTTATAAAAGTTTATTGACTGACTTTCATCTAGTTTAACCACCCCCCCCGTTTTCTTGGGGAAACTGAGGCCCAGAAAGGGTAAGTGACTTTCCCAAAGTAAGTCATCTTGGCAGTTGGGGCCACAGTGAATTGAACGTTGGGCCTAGTGTCAGGAAGACCGAGTTCAAATCCAGCCCCAGAAACTTAGTAGCTAGCTGACAACTGGTAATCTGTCTGCCTCAGTTTCCTCAATTGGAAAATGGGGACAGTAACAGCACTTACCTCCTAGGATTGTTGTGAGAATTAAAGGAGATAATATTTGTAAAGTGCTTAGCACAGTGCCTGGCACACAGTAGGCACTTAATAAATTCTTATTCTCTTCCTTTTCCTTCTCTAAGGTCATACAGACAGAAGTGAGATTTGAACCCAGGTCCTCCAACTCCAGAGACAGTGCCCAATGCATTGCTAGTTTTATTTGGTTTCCCAGAAAAGGAAATCCCTCCCAACACAAATTGATAGAGTTGCTTTACAAAGACCACCACAAGAGGAAGGCAGCAATTGTAAAGGTGTATAATGTACTTTATGTTCAGCTAATTGAGAAAATTTGACATGTGAATGATAGACAGAAAACACATTGGATAAAACCACTATAAAGTAAGGATTCTTTCTACTTAGACTGTTATTTTATGGTATCTTCCTCACTGGGCTGTTGTGAGGTTCAAATGAGATAGTGGATGTAAAGCTCTTTGCAAAACTTAAGGAATTACATGTCAGTCATTATTGTGATTCCATATTAAAAGGCTCAGATGATCAAACCATTTAGATTAGAGGCAGTGCCCAGGAAAGTGGAATAATTTACTTATGAATAAATTACATGCAACACTTTTCACGTATTGATGGACTTTAAATCTGCAAAAGACATTTTAAGAAGGGGTTCATTTAAATGTCCTTGAGAATTTTGGGGTTTTTCTATTGTTTTAGAATTTCTAGAGATTTAAAATTAAGACTCTTAACTCTTTTTTTTTGGTATTTATTTAGTATTTTATTTCCCCCCAGTTATATGTATAAATAATGTTTAGTATTTGTTTTCAAAACTTTGAGTTCCAAATTCTCTCCCTTCCTTTCCCCCCTCTCCACTCCGAGAAGACAAGCAATTTGATAAAGGTTATACGTGTGTAGTCATGCAAAGCACATTCATGATAAGATGCTTGTATGCCTATTCATTTCTTTTGCAATTTTTCCATTATTGTATTATACAAATGAGCCTAAAATCTTGCTACACTTTCCTATTCTATTTTTATTCCATGATACTATGATTCTTTATCTTTCATAGGTTTCTTCTCAGTTTTATTACCATGGCCTTCTAAATCTAAACAGTAGTAGAGAAAGTCAATGAAATTTTTTTTTAATCACATTGCTCTGAAATGAATGTTTTTAATTACACACAAACACTTAGAGTTTAAATTTGAGATATGTTAAGGGTCAATGATATAATGGAATAGGAATTCTAATTTCTAATTTAGAGTATTTGTGATAATATCATGGGCCTTTTGAGAAAATTTTTTTTGCTTTTCTAATGTTACATCTGGCCAATATGAAGGGCCTAATCTTATAGGGTTCCCAGAAGTTCCTCTACCATTTCATTTAGGAACAGTAAAAATAAATGCAAGAATTAGGAAAACAGTATATACAATGACCATAAGAATATAATGTAAACAACACTAAAAAGCAGTGGAATTCATGTTCATTGCAATTACTAATTATGTTCCTGGAAGTTGAAAGATGAAACACATTCCCCAATTCTTGGGAAACAAATGGGAGAATAGGGGAGTAGGTTGTTATCTACTCTGTCAGATATGGTCCTGTGGTCAGTTGGTTTTCCTTATTTTCTTTGTTACAGGGATAATTTAGTGGAAGGGGTGAGATGGGATATATTGGGACTTGACTTGGTTTCTGTCTTCTGTTGGACAGGTTACAGATTGGTTCTTGAGAGCAAGAGAGTAGGGGATAGCTATATTTCGCTAGCTATTCCTTCAAGAAAAAAAACTTGCCACCTTCTTCTCTTTATCTGACCTAGATCATAATTGCCCATGACAATAATTACTCATGTCTAAAGCATTTTAAGGTTTGCAGAGTGTTTTCCTTACATGAACCTGCAAAGTAAGCCATGTAAGTATTATATCTTTGATAAAAAAAAAAGGCAACAATAACATTTTAACCAAAATAAAGATAACTTGAACCCACGGGGGCAGAGGGCAGTGTTGATTTAGTCTGGAAGATATCATTTAAACCTCCAAGATGCTTCTTTTAAGGTCTCTGGTAACATTTACATTTCTAGAGATAACACACTTCTTTGTAGTCTGACTTCTGACCTCATTCAACAGAAACAGCTCTTTCCTCAGTTACTAATGATCTCTCATTGCCAAATCTAATGGCCTTTTCTTGATCCTCATCCTTCTTGACCTTTCCACAGATTTTGACAGTCGCCTGATCATCCTCTTCTTGGGGATAATCTCTTTTCTCTGGATTTTTGCGACACTGCCCTCTCCTTCTTTACCTGTCTCTTCTTACCTGTTTGACCTCTCCTCTGTCTCCTTCTCTAGATCTTTATCCAGTCACACCTGCTTCCCTAAGGCTCTATTTTGGGCCCCCTTCACTTCTCCCTCTATACCATTTCACTGGTGACCATATCAACTCCTGTGGTTTTGATGATCACCTTTATGTAGATGATTCCCAGGTCTGCTTGCCAGTCCTAACCTCTCTGGTGACCCCAAGTCTTGTGTCTCCAACTGCCCTTTGGACATCTCTAACTGGATGTCCCGCAAACATCTTAAACTCAACATATTCAACACCAAATTTGTTATCTTTCCCCCAAAACTTTCTCCTCTTTTTAATTTTCCTGTTATTTTGGAGGGAACTTTGCCACAGTTTCTCCAGACGCCCAGGCTGTCATCCTTGACTACTCACTCTGTTGTTTGCACCTGTGTAACAGCTCTCATACATATCCCTGTCTCTCTTCTGACACTGCAACCACCCTGGTGTAGGACCGCATTACCTCAGGCCTGGTCTCGTGCAATACTAGTCTGTTGTTTTGGTTTCCTGGCCTCAAATCTATTCTCCACCCCAATCCATCCTTCACTTGGCCATCATATTGATCTTCCTAAAATGCAAGTCTGACCCTATCACATACACACACCCTCCATTCAATAAACTCCAGTGGCTCCCTGTAGCTTCCAAGATCAAATTTAAAACCCTCTGTTTGACTTTTGAAACTCTTTGTAACCTGGCTCCTTCCTGCCTCACTAGGCTTCTTACACCTCTGCATACTCAGATCCAGTAACACTGACGTCTTTGCTCTGAGTCACACAGGATACTCCATTTCCCAACTGAGCATTTTCCCATGCTGTCCCACATACCTGGAACTCGCTCCCTCCTCATCTCTCCCTCTTGGCTTTCTTCAGGTCTCATGTAACATCCCACCTTCTGCAAGATGCCTTTCCCAGTCCTCTTTAATCTTAATGCCTTCTTTGAGACCATCTCCAATTGATCCTGTCTATATTTCCTCCATACATATCTGTTTGCACATTGTCTCCACCATTAGACTGGGAGCTCCTTGAGGGTAGGGTTTGGTTCTTTGGATTCCCATCATCTGGCACAGTGTCTAGAACAGAGTAGATGCACCGTAAATGCTAGTTGACTAACCATCATCATCAGTGATGGAAATGAGGAAGAGGAGTTCTCTCAATGAGTAGCTCTGAAACTGCGTACGTAGAGTCAAATCTTTACCGCTTTCTGACTGCTTACATTAACTCCCATTCTGTACAGCATTTCCTCTCCTTTTATAGACTCAGTTAACTCTAAATCATTTTGGACTTGTGAAGAATATATTACCTTCCTTTTAGGTCATTTCCCTGTGTGTGACATTGGATTTTGAGTCGCTCAAGGGGACAGGCACCCTATCTTTTATTGTTCTTGTACCCTGTCACACTGTTTAATAAACACTTCTGCTGAGGCAATGAATGATTGATTTAATTTCCCCCCTTTGTGAGGAGAACAGGGATTTAAAGGTAGGGGTGCCCCTTCCTACACTCTGATTGTAGTATGGAATGGGACATGCTGACAATTAATCTACTATTAACTATGTGAAAATGAGTAGAAAGGAAAGATGGGACCTATTAGTCCTCTTCTTAGCAACCAATTATAGCTTAAAGTTACAGTGATATGTTATCTCATTCCTGTCTTGGGAGGAAGAACATATCCTGGCCTACTAAGCATCTTTCCCCTGCTTGGTTCCAAGTATGCAACCACCCTTACCTCACTGTTTCCTTTTCCTTTTCCTGGTTTGTCCCAGTTTATCTCTTGTGGGATGAGTATCAGTAACTGTTACTAAGTAAATATGGAAAGGTCTCTGGATTAGCTAATCTGAGATTAGAAATTTTGAATAGCTGAAGTTCTCCTCAAGCCTCCTCCCTTTCTCCCATCCTTGCTGCTATCTAAAGACATCCCAGCCCCTTGACACACCCAGCCTGCTAAAAAAGAGATTAGCAGATATTAATGAGAGAAGCCTTAAAAACAAAAGGCTGTGATCTGATCAGAAAAATGGAAAGAAAAAGGAGAATCTAGAATCATGACATGACTATGGTGAGATTAAAACCTCTTTGAGAGGCAGCTTGGTGTAGTGGGATGACCAGGGGAATTTGGACTCAGGACCTAAGCTTGGAACCAGATTCTGGCACAGATTCATGTCGTGACCCTTAGCTTCTCTGCTCCTCAGTTTCCCTCATTGTTAAAATGAGAAACACAATGACAGTAGCTGATGTTTCTAGTTCTTTAATCGCATTTCATCCTCAGTTAAGGGAGGTAGATTCTATAGAAGTCTAATCCCCATTTTTTTAAGATACCTAAACAACAGGGAAGTGAAATGATTTGTCCATGGTGGTAAAAATTAGTCAGAACCAGGATTGAAGGTCAGGGCTCTCCTGAGTCCAAGGCCTAAGCTCTGTCCACCACATCATACTGGGAGAATGGCACTTGCTTGACCTAACTCCCAGGTTGTTGTGTGGGAAGAGTTTTGTAAGCCTGAGAGCTGTGTATGTGTTCTTAGGAATTTTTTTTTTCAGGAAAGGGAAGGAGAATCATAGCAAGTTTGAATCATGGATTGTTACAGCTGGAAGGAACCTAAGAGATCTCTATTCTAAGCCCCTCATTTTTACAAATGAGAGGTACTTTGTAAACAAATGCTCTGATACAGGAGTTGACAGGTTGAAAGTGGCGAACAGCATGTAGTCCAGCGAGGCTGGAATGCCTGAGGGGGAATGGTGTAAAATATGGCTGGAAAAGTAAATTGGAGCCAGACTGTGAAGAGCCATGAATGCCAGAAAGCATAAGGTATCTCTATTTTATCTATTAGACAGGAGGAGACACTACCAGTATTTGAGAAGGGTAGAGAGGTGATCAAGTCTGATTTGTAGCAGCAGCTCCCGGGGCCTTAACAGTTTCAGCATGAGATTCCATGGTGTGGACACTGGTATTCCTTACAGCATGTCACCTCCATAGGTCTTCTCACGTCACTGGAAGAACTACAGCCACTACCCACCACTACTCTGAGGGCAGAATAGTGAAGCAGTAGAAAGAAATAGCAGAGCACGTACAAGCCTTTGGGTATGAGATGCTGCTATTGGACTGTGGGTGGCCATTCAGGGGGACAGATTCCCATTTCCTGCCCATGTCCTGATTTGGATGTTCTTCACTGCTTAGGTGAGGCAGGTTATTATAATTTTTTTTCTTTCTTTTTTCTTTTTTTTTGGCTAGGCAGTTGGGGTTAAGTGACTTGCCCAGAGTCACGCAGCTAGTGAGTGTTATGTGTCTGAGACCACATTTGAACTCAGGTCCTCCTGACTTCAGGGCTGGTGCTCTTATCTATTGCGCCACCTAGCTGCCCCTGAGGCAGGTTATTATTGAGTGAAACGTTATTGGGTTCTGAAACTGGATGTCTAACACAACATATCTAAAACTGAACTAATTTTCCTCCTCCATCCCCCAAAACCTTCCCTCTTTTTATCTTTCTATTGCTGTGGAGGGCACCATCCTCCTCCTAATCATCCAGGCTTACAACATCAATTCCTCAATCTTACTCACCCCCATATGTCCAATCACTTGCAAGTCTTATCAATTATACCTTCATGATGTCTCTTATATATGCTTTTTTTCTCTCCTCTGATACTGTCACCACTCTTGTATAGTGCTTCATCACCTTGTGCTTGGACTATTGCAGCTTCTGGTTGGTCTCCCTAGCCTGGAGGCAGCTAGGTGATACAGTAGATTGAAGGATGGGCCTGGAGTCAGGGAGATCTGAGTCCAAATCTGGCCTTAGACACTTAATTACTATGTGACTCTGGCCAAGTGATTTCGATCTCTCTCTGCTTTAGGGACAGCTAGGTGGTGTAGTGGATAGAGCACAGGCCCTGAAGTTAGGAGGACCTGAGTTCAAATCTAGCCTCAGACTAAACATTTCATGCTTACTAGCTGTGTGACCCTGGGCAAGTCACTTAACCCCAATTGCCTAAAAACAAAAAAACAAACAACCTCTTTCTGCTTCAGTTTCCTCAATTGTAGAATGAAAATAATAATAGCACCTACCTTTCAGGGTTGTTATGTGAATCAAAGGAAATAATACCTATTAAAGTGCTTAGCACAGTACCTGCACATAGTAGGTGTTTATTTCCCTTTCCTTCTCCTTTCCTAAGTCTCTCTCTACTTTAGCCCATCCTCCACTAAGCTATTGAAGTGACCTTCCTAAGGTGCAGGTCTGACTATGTTGCCCTGTATTAAGTTAACTCTAGTGGCTTCCCTGTCATCTCTATGATTAACTATAAAATCCTCTGGTTTTTAAAGTCCTTCATACCCTGGCCCCTTCCTACTTTTCCAGTCTTTGCTTTTTCCTTTGTATCTCTAGCACCTAGCACAGTGCTCTGCACCTAGTAGGTACTTAGTAAATATTGAATTGAATCCCTGAGTTGGGGACCTATTGGTCTTCCTACTGCCTGATAGTAGGGGGAAAAAAAAACCAAACAAACCCTGGCCTGAGCCAGCTGGATTGTGTAGGTATCTGCTTTGATGACAGCTGGACTTATACTAGGGTAAGAATTTTTTTTTTTAATATAGCCCATCCCTATGATTTTATTGGTGTAGTGAACTCCAAGAAACCTCCATCCATGCAGATCAGCCCCTGACTGGGATTTACAGTCTTGAAGAGTTGCCTGAGGCATTGAAGGGTTAAATGATGTGTTCCTGGTAACATTGGCATACTTGGAAGAGAACCAGATTTGGAGTTGGAGGACCAGGTAGATAAGGGGAATGAGGTAGATAGAGCTTACTTCATTGCTTTTGGTAAAGTATTTTGTGGGGAAGATGAAGTAAATGACTTAGGTGCTAATACAGTCGTATGGATTCACAACTGGTTGAGTGGTCAGACTGAAAGAGTGGTTGATAATGTAATGGTTCAGTGTCAGTGGAGTAGCCCAGGGAATCTGTGCTTGACCCCATGCTTTTAACATTTCTATCAGTGTCTTGGATGAAGGCATAGTTGGTTTGCTCTGCTCATCAGATTTGCAGGAGACCCAAAACTGAGAGGGGTGGTATGGCTAATGGAATGAATGACAGTCAGGATCCCTTTTGGGATTTTGACAAGCTGGCATATCTAATAAGATGAATTCAGTAGGGATAAATGTAAAGTCTTGTGCCTGGGTACAAAAAAAAATCGACTTCATAAATACAAGATTGGGGAAGCTTGGTTAGACAGCAGTTCGGAAAAAGACCTTTGGGTTTTAGTGGACTGTCATCTTAACTCGAGCCAACAGTATGATTTGACAGCCAAAACATCTTGGGCTGCGTTAAGAGAGGCAATGCTTACAGTAACAGAGAGTTGATAATCCCATAGTACTCTGCCATTGAGCATCTTCATGCAGAGTATTGGTTTCAGTTCTGGGCACCCCATTTTAAAGATATTGATAAAGTGGAGAGCAAAGGTTTCAAACACAAGGCCACCTGCCTGCAGGACTCCTTTGTGCCTGCTGCAAACAAATACAATAGAACATAGATAATGTTAATATGTGGTCTTCTGAGTCAAATATGGCCCCAGGGATCCTTGTTCAGGGTTTAGTGGGCCCTGATTTCTGTTTGAATTTGACACCACTGATGGAGAGTATCCAAAGGAAGGCAACCACAGGGGTGAAAGTTGGGCCCAAGCAAAAGGCAATCCCTGCCCTCAAGGAGCTCACAATGTAATGGGCAAATTTAGCTTAGAGAAAAGGTCAGGGGAGACATGGTGGCTGTCTTCAAGTAGTTTCAGGGCTGTCCTGGGGAGGGGGATTTGGTTTGTTCTTTTTGGCCCAAAAGAGCAAATCAGGAGCAACAAGTGGAAGTCATTCATAAAAAGGCTAATTTGGACTATGTTAGGA